GCTCCACGATACGAACAAAAACTCACCATACGACGTTACATTAGTTCGCATTTTTCATTTGTTTTTCTTACTACAGTTATTTTTTTTAATGTATTACTTGGCTTTAATTTGAGTATGTTTTTTGCGTTGGAACGAATTATTTGGTTTTACATGTAATCGTATGGGAAAAGATGATCCACCTTACGACATTTTCATGATACGATCTCAATTTCGGAACGGATTAATTTTGTATTCTGAGGTGCCACTGTAGTAGGATTACGTCAATAAACTATTTGCAAGTTCTTACTTTTGGAAACGCTCTTGATAATCGGTTTAAGGAAGGGTATATAATCGAGGACTTTTTTCTTTTTGGTGGTTTTGCTTTTGCCTACTTGTAAGATTATCATCTTTCTTAATGAGAGCCTCTATTCTTCTTCTCCCGCAGCCATTCTGCATGGCAGTTCTTCGAATATATTGTAACTGCTTAACAGTATTGCAAACATTTGTGCAATGCGTGTGTGCTCTCCTTATCCAAGATCGAAATACCGCCATTTTAATATGCTCCGGATCCGCCGAATTCTTAGGGATAATGATGGGTATAAATGTTGGTTTACGATAAATATTGGTTCAGACTTCCCCTTTTATGCATGTTATAGTCAGATCCAAGAAATTAACGTTACTACTCCCTTGTTGCTCCAATTCCAAGGTTAAACCATACGGGTTACTGTTTATCCGAAAAATTACGCAACGGATATTCCGTTGCGTAATTTTTCGGATTCGAATTTCACATTTTGAATTGATGAACGCTTAATGCGTTTGAAAACATTTCGAATTGATGATGAATGCTTAATGCATTTGAAAACGTTTTAAATTATTAAAGAATTTTGCTGGATAGTTGAATGGTTTTTATTTTTACTAATATATAATATCTGAAACAAAGACATGATCCTCTATCTCCCCCCTACATATCCACCCCTTGACCTTAATCACCAAAATTTAATAGCATCAATCCTCCCTGCAAAATTTCAGAAATTTTTCACAAAAGGTACAAGAGATATTAAGATTCAAAATGGATGAACAAAATTGTGCACCCCTCTATCTCTCAATTACTCACACTAACATCTTAACTTACAGGGAAAAATCCCAGATTTCTTTTTTATTTCTCAACATTTTAAGGTACCCTGAGTTCAAAAATGAAAAAAATTTTGGAGTCATTTTCTGATTAATCACCATACTTTCTTTTTCTCTGTTATATGTAACAGCCAGGAAACTAATAACAATGTGTTTGTTTCATTGTGATTGATGTTCAAGTGTACTATCAAGTGTACATTGTACTATCTTGTTGATACATCAATGTCACAACTGTCCACTTTTTGTTTGTTATTGCCCTACTGTTTTGAATATGACAACTGAAAAGTTAAACATTTTTTAACTAAATCTTGTGAACTGTGGTAGAGAAGCAAATTTTCATTTCTGTTTCTGATTACTTTTCCATAAATAGAATAAGGCTTGCTTTCTAAGTTGTTGGAAACAGAAATTTATCTTTTTCATATTTTGCCTTATTGGTATAGTTTCATAGAGAAATTATTAATTTTCTAATCATCCAAAACATATGATGCACATGTGAAATATTTCAAATAATATATTCTTAACAAAATTCTTGCTAAAAGAAGTCTATACTCTACAAGAGAATACATTAGACATTGGTAGTACTGTACATTAATTGAAATCTTAGATTTTTCTACTGATTTGATTCTATTGTAAATTGATCAGCCTGTAATTTTATACAAAATAATGTTTCTAAAAACTTACAAGAAATGTTTAAATTGATTATTCAGCAACATAAATGATGTCTTCTTCATCAGCTGTATTTGAAGTCCCATTATGATGATTTGTTCTTAAATTTTTATAAAAAATCATGTTTAATAGGAGGGATGAAAAAAAATTATTTTTAGTTTCATCCTTCTTGATATAATGGTATAACTCTTCTTTTTTCTGAAAACAATTGCCACCAAAATTAAAACAATCATTTAATAATTCACNTTATGATGATTTGTTCTTAAATTTTTATAAAAAATCATGTTTAATAGGAGGGATGAAAAAAAATTATTTTTAGTTTCATCCTTCTTGATATAATGGTATAACTCTTCTTTTTTCTGAAAACAATTGCCACCAAAATTAAAACAATCATTTAATAATTCACAAGTATACTTACTTCTGCGGCAGTTGGACTGTAACTAACTAATTTCTTTTACCTACTTTTTGTGATGAGATAACATTAACTAATTTACCATTATCCACAAGGCATTAGTCAGTGCACACAGTGATTGCAATGCTGTGTATGCTAACATCAATCTGATTAACCCCATACTGTAACATAAATCTGCCAGTATGTGCTGACGGATTTATGTTACAGTATGGAGTTAAATAGATTGGTTTCTGAAATAAATAAAAGTTTTTTTGATGGTCAATAAAATTTTGTCATTAAATGGTATTGATCCTTCTTAATAAGGAAACTTATTATGAATGTAAAAAGTTACAAGTATATCAAGTGCTTTGACACTAAAATTTAAAAAAAAAATTTGAAATGTGGAGTTAATCTGTTTGGCTTGTGAATGGCTCAATTCAATAATATTAATTGAATTATTAGAAATTTAGAATTTATAGTGATTGTGAAATAATTCATAAGCATATAATGTGTGTTTTGGAAATTATTTTTTTGAATAAAATATAATATACTATAAAATTTTAATTACAGTGCAGATAATACATGGGAACCAGAAGAAAATTTGGATTGTCCAGATCTCATAACAGAATTTGAAGAGAAGCGTAAGAAAAAAGCAGAAGAAAAAAAAGACACGCCTGAGAAAAAAAGAAAAGTAAATGGTACAGAAAGCAATGAAGGATTAGTTCAGAAAAAACGAAAGAAAACTGCAGAGGTATTAAATATTTTCTTTAATATGAGATATTTGTTTTGTGTATTTTAACATGCTTTAAAATTAAAATTGGTAAATTTTGTACATTATACAGACTTATTAAAGGACATATTATAAATATATATTATGTATTAACCAGTTAAAATGCCAGATGCAGGCATCGGGGCATACTAAATAGTTAGCATGCATAGCAATGAAAAATAATTAATTGCAAATGATTTACCTACATGCAGAGACGTTCGGCAGAACACTGTTGAAAGTGAACTGTCCATAACTATCATTGTCAAGTACTAAAATCAACATTCCTACATCCAATTCTCGTGAAATAACTTTCAAAATACCAATAAGATATTACATATTTCCGTTATGATTGGAAAGAAATACCGTAATATCTCATTTCCAGTTCAAAACATAATAATGAAAAAATAAAAGTATAACTATCATTTTCACACACACTGACCTACATCACTATATTATTATTATTATTATGTTGGATTTAGTGGGTAATACTCGGTACACACCGGTGGCTGTGTACTATGCCGGACCAGAGTCAAGGCATAGCAACCAAAACTAATTAAATAAGTGTGTCAGTGTCAGTATTCAGGAATTTCCTAACAATATGACATGTATTCAATATAGTGGCCTTCTGTAGTGTGATGTATGTATTTCTATTCAATTGTAATGTTCCCAGGCTTTTGTGTAGTGTGTGTGGTATCACACCTGTACAGGAGAGAACAACAGGTACAATAAGCACCCTATCCATCCTCCACAGATGCCTTATTTCCTGGGC